ATAATTCCTTACCATAGCGTATCTGTAATAATAATCATGAGTAAAACAAAAATACTTGTACAAACTGGTAAAGTAACCACATCCCTAGTGGTCCAAAGATTCAAATCTTTGTAATATTCTAAACCATTCATGAACATCACAACAAATACAATTAAAACATTTATAGCTCCCACATAAATAAGGAGTTGTGTAGCAACTACAAATTAGAGTTAATAGAATATAGAATAAGGATATACAAACAAGAACCAGTCCCAATGAAAAGGCAGAATAAATGGGGTTAGTAAATAATATGACACACCCCGACCGAAATCAAGGCGTGCTGGCTGTCACGTGAGGGTGACGTAGCCATATGCACAGTGCGGAAGCAAAAGATAATAATAAAAGTATGAATAAATAAAAACCAAACTACTAAAAAAAAACTAGGTAAGGTAACACACTAATGCGAGACTAAGTGTGATGAACATAATTAGAGCACAAAGAGCCTAAGTGCAGTCCATAAGAAGAATACTAATTACACAACACCCAAAAGTGATCCTACATTTGTGATGTTCTGTCAGAACCACCGTCAAGTCCTCGTGAACCACCAAAGCTGCTTCTAACTAGAACCTGGAGGGACGCAAAACAGAAAGTGTGAGTGGGCAAAAACAAAGCTTTTCAAAATCATTTCATTATCAAAAGCTCTAACCCCTCGCCGTAAAACCTGTATAGTTTCCCAGAAAATAGAATATACACATATATCGAAAACATGTTCAGAAATATGCCATGTCGAATGCCTCCACATAAAATGTAAGTAACCCAGGTAATGTCAATCAATGCAAGTAACATGTCAGCTGAAGTCACCTAATGTGACCTATACAGCTGAATCTAGAGCTCAAATCCCCAACTCACTAACTATACTTGCACACGAGTCAGAACCACCTAAAGTGGTATGTACGACAGGACTGGGTGTAAACAAAATACGCTCAAGTGCTACGATCACGTGAAGACTGGGTGAATAATTGCGGGTCACCTACTAGTCGGAACCACCTATAGTGGTCTGTACGACAAGACTGTGCACCTAACTTGGATCCAAGATGAGCGTGTGGTGCAGGAGGTGAACATCACGTGCAGGATTGTGCCCTACTCTGGGCAAGAGCACTAACACTGGGGGTGCAGGTTATGAGCTCTCTATGCATCTCACATAACCACTAATTCACAATCATAAACCATAAACTACCTGGCACTTACATGTGCGTTCGCAACACTAAACATACATATATGCAACTACTAATGCATAAATAAATAGGCAAACACAATGCATGGCATTCATTCCATTTCATTTTTTGGGAAAAACCACAAGTATATAGGTATATACGGAAAACCAAAAGCCCACTCACTGATATGTGGAAGGGTCATAACCCCCTTGCCTCGAGTGAACGCTCGTCCTCAGGATAGGTCTCACCTATATGCGAAACAATTATAAAAACGTCAATTTAAAGCACATAACCAAAACTAGGTAATAACTTCTCATACAATGCTCAAATGGAATGTTTGGATATACCAACGTGATATACTCAACCTCACGAACATCCCAATATTTTTAAAATAATTTTTCGAGATCCCACACGCCGGCGAGTGCACGGACCTACGCGCCCCCACGAGCAGCCATGTGCCAGTCACACTGACGGCGTCAGTTAATGCCATTAGGAATATTCCGTTAAACCTTAACGGATTCCGTTAAAACTGACTGACGGTGTCAACATATTTCGTCCAAAACTGACGGAATATACCGTCTTCTTCTCCGGCGAAACGCCGATCGTCGAAAACCTGGAAAAAACTTCAAACCCTTCGTTCTCAATCGTTTCTTCACCAAATTTCATGAAACCAGTACCAAATTGAAGCTCTTAACTTGTAGAACATTTCCTTACATGTTTAAAGCCCCAAAGATCATGAGATGTCGTCGGAGAAATTCAAGAAAAATTGGCCAAACTTGCAACTCACGATCCCGATGTCTAATTCCACCCAATGAACCACCCCGAGCTTCCTAAGGACCTCACTAAGCTTCCTAAAAGCTTCAAATTCCCTGAAAAACAATATTTCACGTGTGCATGAACAATGACCAAATCGGAGATTCCTGGTTCGACGTGAAATCGAAGGATTCCTTACCTGAATTTGGTATGGTTGAACTCGTATGATCCTCACGAACACAAAGGTACCATTTTCCACTTTGATCCGTCACGTTTGCAAGGGTTTTGAGTCCCGTCCGTACAAGTGAGAAGGAGAGAGAGAGAGAGTTCGCGATAGAGAGAGACATGGGAGAAGATGATATGGGTGTGGGTGTGTGTGGTCCAAGTGCAACCAACAAAACAACAAAACCACCCAAAATGACAAATACCCACCAAGGGCAAAATCGTCATTTCACACCTACGGTACGAATAATTCAGGACGGGCTGTCACATAATACCACCCCCATATATACCTCCTAGTATAAGAACCGATTCCATAAAGACTAAAAGAAAATCATGTATTCGTCTAGACAAATCCATTATATGTAAAATAAGTGATAAATAAGTAGAAATATTTTTCATGGCCTTATTGAGACCCGATCAGAATTTTTTTATTTATTATGATTTTTGAACCATTCCTAATTTAATCCTAAGTAAATAAATACTAGGGGATATGATTAGATGTAAGTACTATTATTGGTCTAACTAGCAATAGTGCCCACGCGTTGCTGTGGATCTTAAAACTACTGAACATAAAAGAAGAAAACAACCAGTGCAAACTTGTAATGGATAGTTTGTAATTAACAGGTTTTTAGTATGTTCATACTATTTAAACACATAAAATATAATAAGAAAAAGAAGCATAGTGTTGGCAGAAAGTGATGTAATTTGCAGTATACTTGTAGTTTAAGTCTGTGTAATCAATTTTAGTTGTGAACACCGGTAACATATATAACTCAGAGAACAAAAAACAGCAGAAACTGAAGAACAAAATGATGTGCACATAGAATATGCTGCAGTAACTATAAATTAAGGTTAGAAGTGTTTTGATATTGATATAAATTTGTGGTGGAGAATTATGCATAAGAGGATATGCAAAGAGTTATAAATATCAAACACAAAATGGACAAAATATTTTTACAAAGTTGTCTAAGTATATATAATTTACAGAAAAGACATTATCAAATGCCTTATCATCAGCATACAAAAAATGATTTACCTAGCATTCCCCTTTGACAATTAGTGCTTCACTGGCATGACTACTTGAACAAAAAATATTGTAAAAGAGCACATTGTTTATATACACAAAAAGTATGGGGAATTGATGTGAGGATCTACTATTTACACACAAAAAATTGTCAATTGATACTTGTTTGTTTTGGATTACAGATGCCAACATTCTTCAATACATGAGCAAAAGGTTTTTGCTTTTTGCTTGAAGCAGTCACCGCAGAAAAAATAGTTTTCATCATGAGAAAAAAAATGGAAGCTAAAAATGAAAGATAATGTTAATAACTGTGTAATAAAGTTTTGAGATGAACAGATTCATAGCATGGAACAATTAATAATAAACTATAGTTACCTAGTTTTTTTTGTATGGAGCAAAGTTTGTCTTTGAGCTGGTTGGTGACGATTTTCTTTTGAACAATTTGATTGGAACCTGATCCTGATCTTGTGTATCTGTTTCACATATTTCTTCTGCTTCACTGTATCACAAATATTTAAGATATGAAAAAGATAAATTTAGACCATATTTGAGTTGAATTTGAGATGCAGTTGAAAATATTGATATATAGTGTATAACCTTGTTTTAGATGGTATAAAAATGGCTCTTCTAATTGATTCTCTTTTTCTTTTATGTGAATCAGCAATTATGTCAACAGGTGAATCAGCAATTATGTCAACAGGTGTACTTGATTGTAACTTCTCTACTTAGAGATTGTGGAGTTGTTGGTTGAATGGTGAGGTCCTCAGAAATGTTATAGATGAGAAGATCATTCGAGTTCAATGAATTTCTTCTGCTTCCAAATTGAAGGTGATAAATTTTTTTCTACCCTATAAGTCTAAGAAACTCACTTGGCAACTGTTTTTGATCCACTGATCTCTAATTGAAAACCAAATCTTTACAGGTACGCCAAAAACTTTTTCACCTGATCTGCCAATAATAAGAGCACTAATAAACTAAGGCATGGTAGTAATGATAAAATCTGGTGAAAATGACATTGAATTAACTTATGAGATATTGTTAGCTCTTCATTGGACCAATACTGAGAGGTATAAAACTTGAAAAATACGTGCAAGTCAACAGTTTGAACAAATATCATGACTTGAAACAAATTGACCAATATCAAGAACACAGACATGGCTAGGTTGGGTAATATATCAATGATTTGGTGAATGGAATGTAATACTTGTAACTCCTAGTTTTTACACTAAATGTTGAACAAAATAAGAGTAAAAAGATCAATGACATCTTGATTGGAATGAAATACTTTTATATAAACGCTTAAAACCAAAATGTTATCAAACTAATTTGCAGTTAGAGAAGATAGTTGAAAAATTAATTATCAAAATGAGAAGAGTCAAACTAATTTAGGCATTGTTCTCAACATTATTAGCACATATCTGACTTGTAGGAAAAAGAACTAATGCTAACCTGAAGAGAGAGGAGTTAATAGTAAAGAAATGCTACAAATCTTATTAACAACATCTATATCTACAACAGAAGAAAGCAAATCTTGATTCTAATTGCAATTATTAATGAAGTGATTGGGTTTCAGGTTGTAGTTGATGCTACTTAATTGATTATTGGTTTGATTAATGAAATCTAAACTTGCAACGATTCATAAAATAGAAAATTTGAAACAATGTTAGAATTATTACCATGGAGTGGGAATCTGATTTGGATGCTTTTGGCAAATAAGTTGACCACTTGTTGGATCTTGATGCATTTGTTTTGTGCACGTAGGGCAAGCTGTGTACCACCATTCATATTTCGTGTTGTATCACTTAATTGATGCTTTGCACAAAAATGTATCATTCTGTGGAATGTTGAAAAATTTGTATTAACACAGGGACAAATTATTAAATAGATAAGTTTTATAAAATAACTTAATAAAAATTGAAAACGTTTTTATTGAACATAATTAAAAAGAAAACATTTTATATACCTTATATAAGTCAGGATCCAAATATCCTAACTCCTCAATTGTCATCTTTTTCCCAGTTTGGAAAATGTCTTGCTCATTGGCTTGCTTGGAAGGAGGCAGTGTTTTAATGGGATGAGGCCAGGTTGAAAACCTGTAATCATTCAGATTGAAAATTGGAAAAACAGAGATAAAAATAATTTAATATATATATATATATATAACCATGCTATGATTATCATTCTATGAGAGTGAATGGACTCACACTGATTTGTATGTATTCAATTTTGGAATGTCTGGATCTATAAAGAAAAGTGTTGAACCAGTGGTGTTCAAGATGATGCTATCTGTGCATTAAACAAAAGTCAAGATATAAAAAGAGAAAATTTATGTAATAATGGACATTTAAAATAGTTTTTAATCCAGGAAAATAAAAATTGCAAATCGTAGGTTATAAATTTAATATCGTTTTATAGATTTTAAATAGTGTATCATAATAAAATCATATCTAACTCAAAAAGGGCAGCATGAAAATTAAGTTTCTTGTATGAAAAACTACCTATACAATATGTTTGTTCTTGTAATAACATCCGTTTTGCAAATATGATGTAGACCTCTCATCAGCAATTTGACTGTTTTCTATGTGAGAAGCTTTGTTTGATCATGATTAAATGAAATGTATTTATTGATGTGTAGAAAAATTGCTAATTTACACTTCTAATGATGTAACATTATAAGTTAACATTTTTTTTTTTACGCATCTACGTTTATATGAGACATTAATGGAGTCAATGTTTGAATACGCTTTATAAAATAAAATCACCAAACATGGTTTTGCAAGGGCAGAGAAACAAAATAAAAGTCAGTTTAATAGCTAAACAAATTAGAAAGAGAAAAAAAAAAGAATTTTTTTTATTAAAGTAAATACATCCAAACAGTTTAACCTTCAAGCTTGTAAAAACAATAATGATTGGTTGGTGTAGTTGTTCTAATGAGAAAGCAGAAAAGGCATGTGCAACATTTGACCATAGTGTGATCTTAGCTTCTTCATTTCTGTAAAACAACGAAAGCCAAAAAGGATAAAAAAAAAATTTAAAGTCATGAAAATCTTTGTATTTAAAATTATTGGAACTATTTTTAATAGAAGAATATGACTATTATACTATTGAAATGGAATTGACAGGTAAAAAGCTTTTAAATTTTATTATGGACACGAAATGACCTGATGTTTTGTATAACAAAATCACATTTGTGCTCAATTGTCTGATTGATTTGTATTGGTTCTAAAGGCTGCACTGAAATGAGGTGGCCAATAACATCTTCAAATTTGAAAAAAAAAAAAAAAAAACAAATTGGTAAGTTCATAGGAAATTGTTGAATAAAATAGGCACGAACATATATTAATATGTTTATTTATGTATATGATTACCTGTGAAGATATCACATTTGTTTAACCGAGGATATAATCCGTTATAATCCAGCAAGAAAAATCTGTGTCGTGGAATAGGCGGAAAGACACTTGCTAACTTCTTAAAAACCGTCTTCGAAGTGAAAATGATTTGGGTCTCATGTGGAACAACTCTATACTAAGCCCTTGCATAGTTAGTATGGAAATTAATGATCTCATAGCAAGTGCCTACTTCAATCTTTGGAACTATTATTTCATAGTCCATTTCAGTAGAAGATGCTTCGATAGCTTGTTGCTTGATAATAAAAAAGAAAAAAAATCAAGGAAAAAAAAAGTTATAATGAGAACAGTGTGGGTAAGCATATTGTTCCAATTTTATAGTTGAAATAACATGCAATTATGTGTAGATCATAAATATTAAATAGCAACAGTGAATTAACAACTATAAGTAACAATTCAAAGGAAATGAATATGTGTACAAAAAGCTATGCAATGCACAGGATAAATGGCAAAACAAATGTATGATTTGAGAATATAAAACAGGACAATAAAGAGTTTTCAAATAAATTGTACACGATCTTTAGCACAGCCAGTATAAAAACTACATCATGCGCTTTAAAGATAATAATTCATTCTTAACATAGAAGATCAAACGTTTACAAAGTCATTTGATAAAAAAATTATGACAAACCTTTTCATCAACCAATATACAGTGCAAGTCTGTATATTTGTCGCCCATGTCTGGGTATTTCGGTCTCCATATCCTACAAACACGTACTTTAATTCTGACAACCTTTTTATATGCCACCAATTGATCAAGCGGAGTTGGACCTTCGCTTTCCATGTAATCTATAGAAATGAAATATTTATAAATTTATAAACGGTGCAGCCAAGGAGGTTTAAAAAACCAGCCACAATATATGCATTTTTATAAATATTATAAACGGATAAAAAAAACTGCAATTGAAATTTGATTTTAAGCGAGATCAGTTATTCAATAATAATAATAGTGAAATAAAAACACACACATTTATTAAATAAGTTGTCAGTCTCTTTTGATTAATACAATCAGACAAAAAAAATCGTTTGTCGATCCTATCAAATTTGATTAAGCATTGAGATGATTTTGATACAACAAATAGTCAACATTAAATAGGTCTGTACAAAACAGTATAATCTAGTTAACAAAACAAAACATACAAATACAAACGTTGTATCACAAATAAATCCGTATAAGAAAAGGGGAAATTGTTGTTAAATTGTAGCAGGAAAAACATTTAATTTAATAGTGTTCTTATTTGGTTATAATAGATCACCTTCTTCACTTTTAACAACACACAATCCATATTAACATAAGCATCATGATCACCACTTTAATAACAACACTTGATATAGTATATATAACACTTATATAGCGTGATATATTAAAAGATACCATAGTACAGTCTAAATAGAAGTAAAACCAACCAGCCAAAAAAAAAAAAATTGAAGTGAACACTAAAACGTATGATATAACACCCATATTAATTAATGGATTTTCAATCCAAATTAAGACGCATTTCTTACCAACCAATTAATAGTTGGTATTTGTAGTAATTGACCAAACAACACGAAAGAAACCTAAATTCCTTCTATATTAGTTATTAGTAAAGTAATTATAAATTATTTGTTAATCAAGAGATTTACTTATTTATTTGAGGCGAATTCAAAATTGTTCGAATTGTATAATCGTCAATTACTGATATTGATAAACGACCCAAAGCAATTTGTTTATAATTCAATTATTGACAATCATAAGTAAAAAGTTCATATTCTTTAGTCATTGATAAACAATTTGTTGGACAATACTCAAGGCAATTACCACAAAATATACAGGCTCCGAAATCAATATCGTAATTAAGCAGCCATTTCTTGTGAATATTAGTTTCCGATTTCCAATCAACAACGGGTGGATCTATAGGACATACCCGAACGCATACTTCACAAGTAATACATTTATCAAATTCAAAATGGATTCGACCGCGGAAACGCTTTGCGGTGATTAATTTTTCAAAATGATATTGAATAGTTACGGGTAAACAATTTGTGTGGGATAAAGTAATCATGAAACTTTAATCAATGTACCTTGCAACTCGTACTGTTTGTTGACCATAATTCATAAACCTAGTTACCATAGAGAACATATCGTTTATATATATATATATGAATAGTTTTATTTTTGTTTATTTCTCTTGTTCGAGACACGTTGCGAATATAGAATGTTATTTTACATCGAAAAGAGTTGGAAAAAAAAGTTAATAATAGATTACTGATAGAAATAGGTAAAAGAAAATTTCATCCAATAATTGGTCCATTGTAAGCCTCGGTAAAGTCCATCTTGTTGTGATTGGAATGAACAAGAACAAATAAGTTTTAGCTAATGTAATAAAGATACCAATTATCGCTCCAAAAACTCCACATGTTTTATTTATTTTAAAAAGCTCATAAACATTTATGTCCAAAATAGATATATTCCAACCTCCCATGTAAATAACTATTACAAATAATGAAGAAGGTTTAGATAGGAAGCAACATAAAATAACCCAAATTTTATACCCGAGTATTCGGTTTGATAACCTGCTACTAACTCTCCTTCTGCTTCTGGTAAATCAAAAGGTAATCTCTCATATTCTGCTAGAGAAGAAATAATAAAAATGATAAACCCTATAGGCTAACGCCACAAATTCCATCCTCAAAAACCCTATTTTGATTGCGCCTCAACAATATCAATTGTACTTGAACAGTTAGATAATTATAGCTGATGATACCATCATTGTTACCATCGCTATTATAGAACTGTACATGAGATGTTCATCTCATATGACTCCTTGAAGCCCAGAAATAAATATATGGACCGCGTCAATATTCTTTTTTAAATCTTGATATGTTTGCAAGATGGATAACTGTTAGTCGGTCCCAAAATAGACCAATTGAATTCTGTTTGTTATAATTATTTTAATTTGAAATTAAATAAAAAAAAGTACTTCTGAATTGATCTCAACCTTTTTAAATTTAAAAATTTCAATAATAATTTCAATTCTTCTTTGTTTAGTAATAACTTAATTGTTCAATAAAATACTTCTTGTAAAAATATCAATAACCCGTTGGTTTCACGTACAGAAAAAAAAAAAATTCTATACTAATTAATGAATTATGACACAGATTATATATCTATTAATATGTATATGGGAAAGAATAAAAGTAACAAAGAATAAATAAAGTATATCTTTTTTTTTTTTTCGATCCTATTCTTCTTTCTATTACTGAGAAAAAGAGGGCTTTCTAAATAAAGTAAAGGATTATTTCGTTTCAAATAGTTATTTATTAAATCAATGGATAGGAGTATTGACACACCCTGACCGAAATCAGGGCATGTTGGTCATCACGTGAGAGTGACGTAACCATGTGCACAGTGTGGAAGCTAAGAATAATAATAAAAGTACGAATAAATAAAAACCAAGATATACACTGAGTAGATAACATACATGTGCAAGCATAAGTGTGAAAAATAATATTCAGAACACAAAAGACCTAGTGCAGTCCAGAGGAACAGACACTAACGAAACACACCCAGAGGTGGTCCTACACTAGTGATAATCTGTCAGATATGCTGGGAATCCCTCGAGAGCCACCAAAAGAGTAATCCAAACTAGAACCTGGAGGGGCACAAAACAAAAAGTGTGAGTGGGCAAAAACAAGGCTTTTCAAAACCATTTCATTAACAAAGTTCTAACCCCTAGCCGTAAAACCTGTATAGTTTTCCAGAAAATATAAAATATACACATATAGAAAACATGCTCAGAAATATGCCATGTCGAATGCCTCTACATAAAATGTAAGTACTCAGGTAATGTCAAACAATGCCATGTAATCTGTTAGCTGAAGTCACCTAACATGATCTGT